CAAGGAGGAAAGGGACAACAGAATTACTCCCAGAGAGCAGAATTAAAGTTTAATCAAATAACTCAGTCACTCCCAGGGTAGGGGACTCCATGAGGCCTGCCCAGCAGAATTTCAGAATTACAATGGACTAGTGAACACTATTTGTCTGCCATTATTAGCTCTTTTGAATGGAGGTTTTAATTGCATTTATTCTCCCCCTGTTCCCACTGTACACTGAGGTCTGTCTGGAAAAAGTCCAGCCACTATTATTATAACAAGAACAGTTTATGTGATATTGATATAACCTGGCAGCCAAGGAGAGTGGACTAGAATGCACAAGCGTGAACAATGACGACTTCACCGCACTAGTCAGTGGAGGCAGTTGACACCATTGAGTGAGCATGTGTACTGTGTGATCACATTCAAAACGACTGATCAAGTAGAGCAACAAATCTGCATCAAATTTTGCATTAAGCTTGAACATTCCTCTGCAGAAACTATTTGGATGATCCATAAGACCACAGCTATGGGCAACTGGTGATGGGCAGCTTCATTATGACAACATGCCTTGCCTGCTCATGCATCATGTTTCATGCAGTTTTTTGTGAAACATCAAATCACCCAGGTGACTCAGCCCTCCTCCAGCCCAGATTTGGTGCCCTGTGACGTCTGGCTTTTCTCAGAACTGAAATCACCTTTGAAAAGGAAGAGATTTCAGACCATTGATGAGATTCAGGAAAATACAATGACGGGGCAGCTGATGGTGACTGGGAGAACTGTGTGAGGGCCCAGGGTGCCTACTTTAGAGGGGATTGAGGTGTCATTGTTCCATGTATAATGTTTCTTATATCTTGTATCTTTGTAAATAAATGTCTCTTTTTTTCATATTACATGGCTGGATACCTTCTGGACAGACCTTGTAGAGACTAAGTGCATAACAGGACTCTACCTTCTCTCTGCTCTTACCTGCCTGCCAGTTATAAGGGTCTGGTAGAGGAGGTGGTATGGCTAATAGATGGAAGAAGCCTGGTTATCTGAGTGGAGCAGATCCTGCCTGACAACTTGTATGAGCAAGAAAAAAAAAATTTATTGTGCTAAATCACTGACATTTTTGTTACCACATTTGTTAAAAATGTTTTTGTTATGAAATTGCAACTATTCTGAATAACATGGAAGCTATTTCATTGCTCTAAAGATAAGGATTTAAACTAAGGCACTATTTAATAAGAGATACATAGCTTAGGGGAAGGACCAATAAGCTTTTATAGACTGGGGGGATGTGAGAGCGAAATAAGGGCAATTGAGGAGTCTGGGATGAGTTCTAGATTTCTACTCTGGTTGAAGGAGGTAGAAGTTTTGAATGGTACTAACAGAGTAATTCAGTGAAGTCCACTGTGCAGTAGCAGTGTGAGGGCTAAGAGCCTGAGACAGAGGTCTGGAAAGTAGGCACATACTTTCCAGGGTAATCTTTAGGGTAGGTATATACATATGGTGGTTGAAGCTATAGAAAGGTGGATGGAATTTGTTGGGAAGACACTTCAGAGGGAGAAGAACAAAGAGGGCATCTAATTAACAGTATAGAGACTAGAGTCTGCAAAAAAGAATAATAACAAACTCCAGAAAATAAGAAAAATGACAGAAAAGAGTAGGTCACAGAAACCAAGTAAGAAAACAGTTTGAAGAATTATGAAGTGGTAAACATTCAAATATTGCAAAGAGACCAAATATAATAAGAGCTAACTATGTATGAGATTTAAAAATTAAGGGGATATTGGTGACCTTCATGAAGAAAATTTAATGGGACATTTGATGTAAAATTCCTATCACTGTAGGATAAGTGCTTTAAGGTTTTATGGATTAAAAAACAAAACAAAACAGATTGAAGGTGTTAAGTCTTGACCAAGGTCCATGCTGGAGCTTGGCTTTGAAATCTTGCCTTTTCGACTCCACAACTCAGGCTCCTCCCCAATTCCACACTGAGTCTGGACAGTGCACTTCACTAAGATGCTGGGTGGTGACACCGCTGCCCAAGCAGGACAAAAAGCATATAGAAATCATAAAGATCAATATTTATTTTCAGAGAGAAAGGTGTAGAGAGGTTACTAATTTTCTAAAATATTTTCTGAGAGAAGGTTCTTGCTTCCTCATTTCTTCTTGCCCCACTTTTTGTTTCTTAAACTTATCCTACTCATTTTATTTGTGACTAGGAGTAAAATTTTATAATATGAATGGTTGTATCAGTGTTACATTTTTTCAAATATGGTTCTTTCGGTCTTAGAACACAAGGTATATCAATCTGCTAAGATAATGTTTAAGTAAGATGACAATTTTTTTTTCTCTAAAGTCTTAGAAAATTTAATAAGATCAAAGGCTCCAGGAGTTTAATAGCCACTTTCACATTTACCAGATGCCTTGGTCATAATTCAGTTTTAAAGTATAAGCCCTTAAACTAGACCAAAATAGAGCAAAATGTCTTTAGGAGATTTAACATGATTTTTTCTTTAATAAATATAATGAAAAACCCTAAATGCTGTCCTAGAGCACTATTGCAAAATAAGCTCTTCAGCAAAATAAACAAGACAAGAAGCAACTTGGAGAAGCATTTATTATTGAGAGCCAAGGTGACTCAATCTTGTGTAGGAAATCTCATTTTTTTTATTTTATAATAAGAAATTTTTGTATGAAATAAAGGAAAGTAATTAGCATCACTTGAATCTATTATTCATTAAATTTTACTATTCTTCTACAAAGGAAACTTTCTTGATGTGCACTGATTTCCTAACCTGGAATGCTGGCTAAAATATTTTCATTAAGATCCATTATTTTTTAGCAGTAAAGGATCTTCCAGTTTGAGACTCAGAACATTCAGCTTGGAGTATACATAATGTCAAGAATAAATGCAGCCAGCATGTCAGCATTAGGAAACATAAGCCTTGGTACTGCCCTTCTTCAGTTGCAGTTTTTGCTGCTATGATTCATTATTGTTTATCCCCTTTACACTTCTATGGCAACTATGTCTATGGAATTCATGCATTTGAATGAGTGCCCCAGTAGAAGAGAAAAGATGCATTTGTAATTTTTTGAAGGCTATATTGTAATGATGAGGAATTAAGAAATAATCTGCCTTTATGCAAAACAATTAAAAAATGTTTGCATACACACGTTAGTTGCATGTCCCACTTTAAAGACATTAAGCCCCATCTGATTCCCCATATTCCCTTAAAACAGAGTGGCAGATGATAATCTTCTCTTAAAAATTAGTTAATTAGCAGGAAACAATTGAAAAAGAAGAAACACCCCACTCCAACCTGAAAAATTTGTTATTTTTAAGTTGCACATGTGGATTTTTATAAGTTTAAATATATCTAGGAAACTGTAGCTATCATACATACATCACCCGTGTTACATAGGAGATAGGGGAGTGGATATGCTCTACAGTTTAAAGGGTACTATGTTGCAATGCATGTTGCCACATAAGAATTTAAAAACAAATGAAATTTATGAAAAATTAAAAGTAAGCTTATTTTTGTTTCCAACCTAAGTTTCTTAGCAACTTTAAAACATTTTGTCTGATCAAGACTTACATTTATCTTCTAGCGATTAGTTCAGAAGATTCCCTAACGTTTTGCTTATGAAATTGAATGTCTCACTTTAAGAGGAGTAGATTTCTAGTAAATATTTTTCAGGATCAGTTATATATTGGAAGGAGAGGATTGCAACTTCGCAACTTTTTTATCAGATACTGAGATGGTTTAACACACTTTTTAAAGATAATGAAAATAGAAAAATTTCATATTGATTTTAAGTTATGCATTTTTGAAATTTTAAAACAATAAATATGTTAATTTTGCTTGCCGGTAAAACAATAAGGCTAAAACTGGTTTTTAATATTAGAATAATTTTATTCTATGGTATTAGTTATATATAATAAAAGCAAATGAAAAAATATGTGGTAATTTTATAATACTATTTTTTTTTCATTCATTCATTGAACAGGTATGAATTACTTTACTCTGTGACAAGGTATTACACTTATATTCCTGGGTGCATAACAAAGTTTAGCCACCTAATTTCTTCTAGAATTTAAGAACTTATTCTTACTGTTACTCTGAAGTAAGACTGCTTGGTGTGCATACCGAGTAAAAGAAAAACAAACAAAACAAAAACAAGAAATGTATGCCAATGAATTACAGAAACTACTATTTAACTGGGTTGGGACCAAAGGTTGTTAGTGCTGTTGGCCACAACTATCTGAAAAAAGGCCCAAAATGTCAAGCTGACCTCTTAATGGGTACTGCATGAATACCAAAGTTCAATGGTTTGTTCTGGATGCAAAACATCAAAACACAGGAATGTTTGCCCAACACTCTTACTTAGAGCTCTTTCTTCTATTAACATAGTTTAGAAAAGTGATTAAAGTGGGACTTGCTCTGAATATTCCTGCTTCTGTTTTTATCATTATAGTAAACAAATGAAAATATGCCATATTTTGAATGTATTACCTTTTCTTAAGTTCACATGGGGCTAAAGCCGCATGACCTTAGTTACTTATGAATCATTTTTGGTAGCAGGAATACGAATATTGTAAATTCAGAACTCGAGAGACAGAAAATAAATATGATCATTATGGGCTGTGATGCACCTAGCTCTGGGAAAGACAGAAATGGGTGGTATGAACAACAGTGACCAGGCTGGAGGGGGGTGGGAACAAGACCCAAAGGACCCTTCTAAGGAAGTAACATATAAATTGTTGTACGAAGGATGAGGAATCATGCGAAGAAGCAGGGAAAGAGAACTAAAAGTGTAGTAACTGAAAGGGAAGTAATCTCGGGACAAAGGAACATATTAGTTAAGGACAGAGGAGAGGGTAGCTTAAATTTCCCAAGAAAGAACTTTTCTGATTTAGATTAGTTCATCTCCAAAGTACCCTGTGATCAAACGGGATAGCCTCAGTTATGCAACACTAATCAACAATACCCAGCCTGAGCCCCCTTAAACAACCAGATTTATTTCTCACTCACTCTATGTGTCCATTGCAGGCTGGCTAGATGTTCTGTTCTGTGTCCTCTTCATGCCCAGACCCACACTGACGGAGGAGTCTCTAACGGGAACCCGGAGGTCACAGTGGCAGAGTAAAAAGAGAAAGCATAGCATGTCGAGTTCAGGCTCTTGAACCTTCCACACACATCGCCTCCACTCGCATTCCATTGGCCAATGCAGTGACTAATCTCAAGTCAGCAAGGACGTGTAATTCTCCTGTGTGCCTGGAAGAGGAGAAAAACTGTAAGCAGTGATGAGTGGCAGTCATATCTCCTGTGGGGGTCGGTGACCAAGAACAACTTGGAATTGGAGGTGCAATTTGTGTGTGTGTATGTGCACACCTTTTCCATGTCTCCAGGGAAAAGGTCCATTGCTTTAATCAGATTCTCAAAGGGATCTGTGACACAACAATGATTAAAAACCACTGGACCAGTTGAAAACTGTCATGTAAACAGATAATTGCTCTACAAGGCAATTTACAGCATGAGTGAGAGGCTGAAATGATTAAAGAATTATCTGTGCGTGCATATGTGTGAGCAGGTGCGTGCTTGGTGATAAGGAAAAATTTGAGCAAATCTGAAGACCAAAGGATAGAAGCCAGAGGACAGAGCATGTTAGATTAAAGACATGGAGGTGAGAAAATGACCGATGTAGTGCGGTTGCAGAAGATGCCTAAGGAGATTGTGTTCAGTATTCTCCAGAAGTGGTAATGTTGGGAGCTAGAAGAGATAAATCTTCCCTGAGAGGAGGGAGGGAGGGAAAAAGTGGGTGTCCCCCTGGTCAGACTGCAGGCAGAAGGGAAGGACAGGACCTCTATGTCTCCTGGGATGTATGGACAAGGGCACCGATGTAGGACGAGGGGATCATCGAGCATGTTGATAGTTTGGAACAGCTGTAAGGGAAATCTGAAACAGAGCTAACTGGGGACAAACAGAAAGACTGCCAGTAGCACGGAGGGTCCAGCTGATGTTGAGAACATGGGTTTGTCACAGTGCCAGTAAACAGAGTTCGGAGATCGTTCCTTCTCCACGCTCAGCTGCCTGGAAGCTGGAGCCAAGACGGTAGCTGTTGGGCTCGCCTAGGGCTGGGGATTGGCAGAGCAGGTGCACCACCATGTCGTGCCGATAGTATAAAGTTCAAGAGTCTCTGAACAGGGAAAAGACACAATTTTGCCTTTAATTAAAAAAAAAAAGTCCTCAATAATGGTGAGAAGCAGCCTTACACCTATATTTCTCCTCTCTGAGTTGCAGTTCTTGCTCCCTGCACAGTTTGGCTTTGTCCTGAGCTCATAACTGGTAAAACCAATTCTATAGCCAGTATTGGAAGGGGTAAGTAGCATAGCTTATTTCTTATTGTTTAAGTAAAATTAATCATGCCAAGCCACCTATAATTTTATGTGTTTTTTAATACCCTCTTACTTTGCTGGTGAAATCTGACAGAACAAAGGTAAAAGAAAAAAAAACATTAAAGCTCGAAAAATATAATTACAATCTCAGAGACGGAATTGCTTAGCTAAGCATCTTGCTATTAATTAGTATGTCATAAATTGTACTGCCTTCAGGGATGCTAAGACATTGTACTTAGAAAAACCATTAAATGGAGAAAAAAGAAAAACATCTGTAGTGGTTTAGCTCAGTGCAGACTGCAGTCTGAAACAGCATTGCATTATGTTTCTCTTTTCCCAGTAGCCTGTCAAATCCCTGTATTTCCCTGATTTCAACGAGGTTACATCATAAGCATTTGGTAAAAATGGTGTTGCTGTTCAAGGCGGCATATGCATACTTAAGGCAAACACAGCCATAATAATAATAATCCTGGTTTCCTGAGCGACTTTTCTTGAAGCCTGTCATTTTATTTTCCATTTCCTCAGAATGGAGGTTTTATCTCTTAAGTATCTATTGATGACTGACAGGTGAGGTGAGTAAGCCAAGCTATTATTTAGAATTATGTTGGAGGCCAAAATTACATGTGACTTTCCACATCTTTTCCTCAACAGAAAGAAGTTAGCAGGAGGCTTGCTAGTTAAACAGAGATTGTTGCTGCAAATGGCTCATTCCCAGAAGCCCCTCTCTCGGAATTTCAGTTGTTGATAACTAGCAGGTTTTATCTCCAGGAACTAAGATAAGTTTTTCTTCACTTCTGGCCTGCCAACTTGCAGACTGTCTCCAGCTGAGGCAATGCTGCCAGAATGAATAACTGGAGAATGCACTCAACTCTCTATTTATTTGGAAGTATGATAATTTGAGGGAAAATTAAAACTGTCAGTTTTTCATTGCACCCTACAGCTCTCAGTGCTGGTTATCTCATCAGACCGCATGGATATACTGCTGCATAAAATTGTGTAAACGAATGGAAAAGCCAAGAAAGGAGAGGTGGAATTAATATCTTGCCAAAGGCCACACAACACAGTATGTTTAAGGCAGGACTGGGCACCTGAATCCCCCGGCTGATTTGACTGAGGTCTTCCTGCCCTAGCCCTGAACAGGGAGCACGTGGATGCTGAGGTTACAAAGTTATGCAAGGGGCAAGGACAATAAACTTTAAATATACAAACGCTGACCTGTGACAAGCTGTTCCAGAGGCCCAGGGACTGTGCGCACTTTGAGGACCAAGGGTGTCAGTTCATCTTTGTATTCCAGGCTCCAAGCTCTGTGCATGGCATATCAGTAGGCACCCAGTCAATGGTGAATAAATTGTGTTGAATAAACTCAGAGCTTTTAAAAATGTGACCAGATAATCCCATTTCTCTGCCTGAAGTGCTGCGATGGCTGATGGCTTCTCATTTACCTTAGAGTAAGAGTCCAAGCAATCTGGTCTTTGCTAATGATTGCATTTTCTGCTTTCCCATCCCCACCCTCTTCCCCACAAACCCTGCTTAGGCTCCTTCTCCACAGGAGGCGGCTCCCTCTGCACGGGCTGTTCCTGTTCCGTTTGCTGCCGGGACTCTGGCTCTACGTTCACAGGAGGCCATCTCCCTTACTACATTCAACGCATGGCCCAAATGTCACTTTTTATGGAGGCATATTCCCACGGTCCTTTAAAAAATTGCAGCCCTTTGCCCAGTGCCTCCCACCCATACTCCCGATCTCCCTTCGCCTGCTCTGTTTCCTTCATTAACATTGATCACCTTCTAACTCTAATTTACTGTTTTGTTTACTTACTTTTTACGTGGATGTTTCGTTGGCTGTCTTACTTTTGCTAGGATGTGAGCTTACACTGGTATCCTTAATGTTTCAACATATTGAGGATGCTTTGTAAATAATTTGAATGAATAAATTAATAAAACTGGATTAGGGAAGGAAGTGAGTGCATGGGTCAGAAAGCGCGAAGGGCCCACAGTTAAAGACAAGTGTAAAGGTGAATGGACCATAGGTCCTGGTAGGTTTATGGAGGCAAACACTTATTTTCATATTCTAAAAAGCTCCTGCAGTTCAAAGATAAACTTGGCCAACTATCAGAGTCGAAGCTGCAGACATTCAACCTGTTAATTGCCAAGCTCTCTTGTTAACAACGTAGTTCAATCCTTTATGAATTCAGGCAAACGGCACGTGTGTGAATTGGTTTGAGGTCCTCTGAATTAGGATTGCTTGGGAAGTGTTAAGGTTCCTACAACTTATCCAGATTGCTGAATAATCTTGAAGGATAAGGTCCCCAGGTGATTTGAATACATATTAAAATTTGAGAATTACTGGTGTATAGTAAATCTATAGAAAACAATGGGATTATAGTAGAACATAATCTCTCTGGTTGTAGTATAATTATTTCACAGGATGTTAATAAGATTGCAGTTTTTTAAAAAAGTGTTCCTTAAATTAATAGATTAGGATAACACTGAGTTAAATAGGTTTAAAAATATATATAACGGGAATTGTCAGAATAAACTGGGAATTTGATTAGCTGACATAATTGTGAATTCTCCACAGTAGGATACAGTATGTAGCATCCCAGATTTACTTTGTCATGGGTATCTCTTTTTTAGGCTCCTCTTATTAACCTCTGGGGGGAGAGGTTTATCTTTAAAGAAAAAGTCTGTGCATTTATGTTACAGGTAATATCTAAGATTCATTCTTGATTCTAACAGTCTATAATTGTTTATAATTCTCTTTTCTTTCTTGTTACCTCTCCTTTGTTTGTAATCTAACTGGGGCTTTCTACATCCTAGAGAAAGAGATATGAAATAGTTTATCTGTATTTTATGGTTCACAGGACTCACTTTCAAAAGTGAAAAAGACCTTTTGTATTTGTGTGTGTGTGTCTGTGTGTTTGTGTTTGTGAAAAAGAGAGAGAAGGAGAGAGGGGGGAGAGAGGAAGGAGAGATGGAGGGAAATAGAGAAAGAGAGGGGGAGAGGGGGAAGGGGGAGAGGAGATGGATGGGAGAGAGGCAGAGAGAGTAAAAGAGAGGAGAGAGAGGGGAGAGAGAGAGGGAGAACAGGAGGAATGCCAGTTCAGAGAGGGTACACAGAATAGCCTGTGTACATGAATAGGTGGGTTTGCTTGTCAAAGTCAAATTCAGTAAATTAGTAAGTGAGGGTTCTGTCCTTTGTGTGGGGCATTCTGTGTTAGTGGGATGCACACATAGAAACATCTCACTGGCTGTAAGTACACATCGGGTAGGTTCTCCCATATTGATCACTGCTAATCTATTCCTCATGTCACTTTCCATTCCTTTTGCATGGCCTCTGGAAACAAGATAGGTATGTGCCTGGAATAAATAGCCTTCTCCCTGTTTGAAAGGCATCTGAGGTCTACAGAACATTACATCCTTCTGTGTAATGGAAGTAACCACACATGGGCAATCGCTGTCTACAGACGTAATGAACCAAGTGGGAGGTAATGAGAAGTGACTGTCACGCCATCTCTAGGGCCCCGTTCTTCCCGCCACACAATTACACTGTGACCCTAGAGAAACTGCGAAGATGGTAACATTCTCTCGCTTCCTAATGGTCTTAAAATCAGCCCGAGCTTACCAGGGGGAGCCGAAAAGCAGCATGATTCATTTGACAGTCCAGAGGATGTCCAAGGAAATCTATGATAATAACATGGGAGGCAGTTCTCCACACAATCATACACTGTTTCCTCTGTGCCGACTTGGCCTCTTGCCTGAAAGATGCCACGGATT